GGGTTCCTTTTTCTCCACATGCTCTCCAACACTTGTTATTTGTCTTGTTGATGATAGCCATTCCAACAGGTGTGAGATGGTACCTCACTGTGGTTTTGATTTGCATTTCTCTCATAGATAGTAAAGTTGAGCATCTTTTCATCTATCTGTTGGTCTTGGAAAAGTGTCTATTCAGATCCTCTGCCCATTTTTTAATTGGATTATCTTGTTGTTGAGTTGTGTATGTTCTTTGTATATTTTGGATATTATCCTCTTATCAGAGATATTGTTTGCAAATATCTTCTTCTCTCATTCACTGTTTTGTTTTGTTGATAGTTTTCTTTTGCCTTTTTATTTTGTTGATCGTTTCTTGCAGGCATCTCCCTAAAGTGCCTCACATAAATAGTCTTCCAATGGGGATACAATATCGATGTGGAAACAAATCAGAAGGTTGGGGAATGACAATGTGGAGCGTAAGAGAATGTGGAGATTCTCATTTTAAGCCTGGTATCAATCAACTAAGTGACCATAATTAGATCATTTAATCAGAGTACCAATTGCTTCAGCCAATAGAATAAGTAATCTATTCTGATGCTATGAATGACCTCAGAAGGAACACAGGCTGACGAAAATCAGCAAATTGGTCTGCAATGACAACTCCTCTCAAAAAATATTGTAAAAAAATGAGAAGCATTGACTAAAGGTTGTATCAGATACTGTCGCTTAGCTGTTTAAAAAACTCCAATAGATCTCCCATGTCTGTAAAGGAAAGGCCAGCTTTCCTAACCTAGCGTTTTAGTCCATTTAGGCTGCTAGAAAAAAAATATACCATAGACTTGGTGGTTTAAACAATGAAAATTTATCTCTCAGAGTCTGGAGGCTCAGAAGTCCAAGATCAAGGTGCCAGTAGATTCTACCTCGGGGGAAAGCCTGCCTCCTGGTTCATAGAGAGCCATCTTCTCTGGTGGAAAGGGCAAAGAAGCACTCTGGGATCTCTTTTATAAGAGCACTAATTCCTTGGTGATGGCTTCATCCTTGTGATCTAATCACCTCCCAAAGGCCCATGTCCTCATACCATCCCACTGGGGATTAGGTTTCAGCATATGGATTCAGGGGTGACACGTCCAGTCAATAGAATTCTATCTCAGCAACCCCTCACATTCATGTCCTTCTCACATGAGAAAAAATATGCTTTCAATCCCAATAGCCCCCAAAGTCTTATCTTATTTCAGCATCAACTTTAAAGTCTAAGTCCAAAGTCTCATCTAAATATCATCTAAGTCAGATCTGGCGGACACTCAAGGTACGATTGATTCATCCCGAAGCAAATTTCCCTCTAACTGTGCACCTGTGAACCTAGCTACATCATGAAACCAAACTTATAAAATACAATGGTGGGACAGGCACTAGATAGACATCCCCATTCCGAAAAAAGAGAAATGGGAAAGAAGAAAGGACAGATCCCAAGTAAGTAAAAAACCTAACAGGGCACACGAACCTTAAGGCTCAAGAATAATCCTCTTTGGCTCTCTCACTCTGACTTCCAAACACACTAGGTTGTGACATCACCTCTGTGGCTCAGCCGGGAGGGCCCTGCGGCAGCTCTCTGCCAGGTCGTGATCTTGAGCCTGTGGCTCTGTCAGGCAGCTCTGCTTTTTGAAATCTAGGTGGAGGCAGCCCCACTCCCATGGATGCAGCTCATGCAGCCGCTCTCTGCTGTCCCACCCCTGAGGCCCTGGGTGGGGGCATCCTGGCTCTCTGCCTGAACCACAGACTCGGGCCCAACCTTTGAAACTCATTCTTCTCGGGGCCCTTGCACTCTGGGCCTGCGGTGGGAGTGGTAGCCCTGAAGATCTCTGACTCGCCTTTGGGGTCATCCTTCCATTGCCTTCCGGCTACTATTCAGATGGATGACCCATACGAATTTCCTCATCAAACCTGCCTCATGGCAGTTCTCTTATTGTTCTCATTTTTTTGCAATATGGATACACAGAATTTTCCGAACCATAAAGTCCTGCTTCCTTTTGCTTAATTCCGAAATCTTTCAGTCATTTCTCTCTTCTCACATTTTACTATAAGCTATCAGGAGAAGCCAAGCCTCACCTTCGACACTTTGCTTAGATATAGCTTCGGCTAAATTTCATCGCTTGCAAGTTCTACCTTCAACAAAACACTAGAATATAAACGCAGTTAAACCAAGTTCTTTGCCACTTTATACTAAGATCACCTTTCCTCCAGTTTCCAATACCATGTTCCTCATTTCTGTTTGAGACCTTCTCAGAATGAGCCTTATCATCTGTATTTCTACCAACACTCTGTTCAGGATGACTTGGGTATTCTCTAGGAAGATGGAGCCTTTCTCTACTCTTTTCATTCTGTGCTCTCACCAGAATCACCCTTTCATGGTCCATTTGCAGCAATATGAGCTTTTTCTGGCACGGACCTCAAAATTCTTCCAGCCTCTACTAATTACCCAGTTCCAACTCTGCTTTTACATCTTTCGGTATTTACTACATTAGCACTCCCACTTTTAGGTACCAATTTTTCTGTTTCAGTCCATTCAGGCTGCTGTAACAAAGACTGGGTGGCTTAAACAACGACAAGAAAATTTATTTCTTACAGTTCTGGATGCTGGGAAGTCCAAGATCAAAGTGCTGGCAGATTCAGAGCCTGATGAGGACCTGCTGCCTGATTCATAGATGGCAGACTTCTCACCGTGTCCTTGCACGGAGGAAGGGGCAAGGCAGCTCTTTGGGATCCCTTTTCTAAGGGCTCCGCTCTCATGATCTAACTACCTCCCAAAGACTCGACTTCTAAATGCCATCACACTGAAGATTAACTTTCAACATATGAATTTAAATTTAAAGGGACGCAAACATTCAGTTTATAGCACCAACCATATCATCTGATCATAACTAACTGCTTACCGTCTGCCTTCACATTATGCTACATCAGAATCTGGTGTTTTGGTACACACTATTTCCTCTACTTGGCTTTTGATGCCTATCTTACTTCATCTTACCTTTTTGCCTGAGGAATTCCTACTCACCCATCAAGACATAGGTCAAATACTACTTCTTCTGTGAAGCATTTCCTGGCTCTCTCAGAATTAGGTTATCTTCTACATTCCCATAAAGCACTTAGTAGCTAGTTCCATAATAGCATTTGCTAAACTATATTGCTATCTATTTATATCTTGGCCTATCTATAGTTGTTAGCACCTTATGGACAAAACCCACACCTAATTATCTTTGATCTCCAACATCTAGCTCATCTAGTAGATGATCAATAAATCACTATAAACCTGAATATAGGAATATTGAGTGGATAATTTAAAATGTCTTAGAAATTTTATAATGTTAAGTATGGGAAGACTTTCAGACAATCTTAATCAAATTCTTCTATTTGCTATTTGAGATAATAGAGGGTGATGATTTTTCTAAAAAAAAAAAAACAGTGAGTTAATGGTAAAGGCAGTACTGGTATATGTTTCTGATTCCCCATGTAGATGTTATTTCCCATCTACTGTCTTAAGGCAGAGATGAAAATAATTTGGGAATACAAGAAGAAAAGAACATCAAAATGACTGTTATATTAATGTTTCCCCCACTCCTTGGTTTTACAGATTGTATTTTTCTTGCCTTTGGATGTTACTCAAGATAGTGAACTATCTGTCCAAGACGAAAATGCTATAGTACAATTTGAGCTTCAAGAAGAGTCTACCAGTGATTACTCAACAGCAAACGTACAACCTGTTTTCTTTGGAGGCTATACTTTCTTCAAATTGAGAGTCTCAAAAAGTCCTTTAACCTTCCAACAGTCGGAGAAGAGAGGCAGTAATTATTACTACACATCTTCATTTGTGACAGATGAACAACAGAAAAATACCCCTCCTGCTGTAAAACTTTATGAGGAAGAAATTAAGCCAGAACTTTTGCCTCCCAGGTTGGAGAAAAGGTCTTCAGAAAATATAACGCGCACTGAACAAATGAATGATGAAGACCTACAGTTTGCGATCAAAAAACCCTCAAGAACACCGGAAGCGCTAACACCCCAAGAGTTGCCATCCCAAGTTCTTCCAACCCAAACTTACCCAGTACAAGCCCTGCCATCTACAGTCCCAACATTCCATATCACACCATCTCATGGCCTGATATCTGAAGACATGCCATACCGTGACATACCATCCTCCGACACACTATCCCTATATGGACCACCCCCAGGCACATCATCCCAAGGCACACAATCCCAAGAAACACAATCCCAAACCATATCATCCCTAGGTACATCATCTCTGTTTACAGCATCCCAATACATGCTATCCTCAGATACGGCGTCTCCAAATACACCATCGCAGGACATTTCACAAAGTGTGCTTTCTCAAGAACAAAGTATGCTTTCTCAAGCACAAGGTAGGCTTTCTCAAGTACAAGGTAAGCTTTCTCAAGAACAAGGTAGGCTTTCTCAAGCACAAGTTCTGCCAACAGAATCCAAGCTATTGGAAGCCAAAACATTCCATGCTAAGCAGTCTCTTAGTGTACAACAACTAGAACAGCAATCCCTGAGTCTTCAACAAAAAAACGGCCAACATCAAGACCAGCAATTTGTACAGGTAGCATATCAAGACATTCAATCAGAAGTCAGTTTACTGACCCAAGAATGGAAATATGAGAAACACCAACGCAAGAAATCCACAAAGAAGCCTTCCATCAAGGAGCATAGAAAAAGCTCACTATCTTCAAAAAGGAAATCGGCAGACCTGTCGATCAAAGACCCGCAATCTTCAAGGAGGAAATCCCTAGACCAGCATATCAAAGCATGGTTATCTGATAGGAGGCACTCCACCCACAAGCAATTCCAGCTTACGCAAACCACACATCGAGCCCCAGACCAGCAAGATGAAGACCAGCTGGCCCAAGGAATACAATCCCTAAAGCAACCATCCCAACATGGGCATAGTGAAGACCAGCAGGACAAAGAAGAGCAATCCTCCCAAACACAATCCAAGGATAGACAAGATAAAGCCCAACACCAGCAAGCTGAAGACCGGAAAGCCCAAGAGGAAAAACCCGCAGTGCAGCTAGGCCAAGACCGGCAATCTCTAGACTTGAAAATCCCATCCTGGCAAACCCAAGATCTTTTAAAGAAAGAACCCCTAAAGCAGAAAGTTCTATACCAACAAGCCCCAGCTGTGCAGGCCGTACCTCAACAACACCTTGGTTGGAAAGCACAAGACGTTCCATTTCAAGGGGCTCAGTATCAAGATATCAAACTTCGGGAAATGAAAAGTCTGTGCCAAAAACCAAGTGATGTGCAGTCGGAAGACGTGAAGTCGGATTTCCATCATTCCTCCTGCCAAAGCTCAGTACAAGACATGTATTTCAACTATTTGTCCAACACAGAGTCGGATGTGCAACAAAACACTTCAGTTTGCTCAACTTCGTACAAAGAAAATCCAGCTTTAACCTCATGTTGTTTAAAAGATCAACCACAATCTGAAGACTCTGACTAACTTGCAAAATCTACCCAAATACCACACTGCTCCCGATTATGAAACCGAATTAGGGAAAAACAACATAGTCTCCTCCAACCTATGTCCTCAAGTGTTGTTGCTATACTATTTACTCATTGGAAAATGAAGAGCATGCAGAACACTTAAAGGATTTGTCCTTAATTAAAATAAAATGACAACAATATTAACACTCTATCAGAACTTTTGAGGGGTCAAGGAATACTTCATGTTTCAATTTATGATCAGCAATTCATTTTACAGCTTAATATTTAATGGACCTAGTTTTCTATGGTGCTGGTATTTCTTGCCTCCTCCTCTGTGTATTATAGGGGCTCAATAAGTCGACCAGGAAGAAGACTATTCGGGCTCTCTAAGGGCTCAGGAACCAAAAGAATCAGCAAGGAATAAAAAATCAATCCCACTATCCCACTGTTTTGCTATTTCCAATCACCCAATTTACTCTCTCTTCCCAAATCTATGTTGAGGATATATACTCTAAATTTGTTCAATTATTAATGAGGTAGAATGTGGCAATGAGTACAACTATGTGGTATAGGGAGAGAATAAAACACACCCAGAGACAGAGAAGTAAGAGGCAGGGAAGGGCAGAGATGCAGACATCGTAATAGAAAGTTTGACAGACTGTAATATATTGCGTGAAGCTCTAGCTCCCTTCCATATGCGTGAACTCACTGCTTTTAACTTCTCAACTCTAATGACATATAATTTCATCCTCAGTGGTCAGAGAAAATTGTGCGATCAAAAGTCATCAGTTACTCCTCCATCTTCCAAGCCTAACTGTATTTTTCCAATCCTCTTTGTCCTTGATCACTCTGGTACATTTAGAGTTGTAATCATCCCTTCTTTCTGCAATATTCATTACTCTCGTTGGCTTCTGTGTTTTTTTCTTCCTGCTACAAAAAGTCTAAAGTACCTCCAGGGCGAAATCTCTCTCCAGCTTCCTTCCTCTTTGAAATCATATACTCTCTTATAGTTCTCTTATATTCTTGTGAATAACCCCAGACTGTGTCATATCTGTGTCTTCCAGAGAATTTCAAGCAAGGGCTTGCTTCTAACAGACATTCGGTAAATCATTTTTAAAATCATAGATGGGAGCCTGGGCCCTCCACATAGGGGTGAGTGAAGTTATGTGTGGTACAATAACGAGGCACAGAGGTGGAGAGGCTGGCTATGTGTTCCTTGACATCTTTACCTCTACAGTAAGGATTAGCCTCCTGAGCTTCCCAAGGTGGTTCAATCTTGGTACAGTCCATACTTGAGTTGGCTTCCAGTTTCTAAATGGTTGTCACTTTGTATTCAACTTGCTCTGAATAATACTAATAATTTCCCCTTTTGCTTTGACTAGATTAGCATATGTTGTATGGTTCTTGTATAATGAGTTTAACTTCCAGTCTACAAACTCAGGTGTTTAGAAAATATATATTTACAATTCTTCATCAAATTCTTTGAGAATCCAATCCATGCAATCATTCCTAACCATTCAGCCCCATATCCACCCAATACACAAACACGCACATATACATTAACGCACACTTGCACATGGGTCCTAGAGTCTTAAATGACGCCAAGTCATTGGAAAGGCAATTCCTATCATCACTGATTAGTACACATTGTTTACCACTGGGAAACTTGTTAGAGTCATTGGTTGGGTTTGTTAGACCTTACGTGTCCTGTGAACTTGATGCTTCTGTACCACACTTAGAAAACAGGTATTTTCCCCCATAATTTTAAGAATGCAGCACCTCCTAAGATCTAAATATACAGTGTGAAGATGTAAAAAATATTAAAAAACCATCCTGAGTTTTTGCCACCCCATTGGGAATGATGTTGGGGAGCAAGTCGGAAGCCACCAGTGTTCCCCCAGACCCAGAATCACCTTTCCAATATGCAAGAACCCCACTTTTTCTCTCTGCTTTTCAAGGGCATTCTACTCCTCATCTCTCCTTTATGAGACAGTTTATACTATCCTATCAATGAATTTGCATCTAGAATTGATGAAATCGAATGTGTTTAGGAGGCAATAGGAGAATGTTAATATATGAAGTAATTGATTATAAGACCAAGGCAAAAGGCTGCAGGGAGCCAGAGCATTTAGAATTTACTTAAAGGCAACATAATTTTTTTTAAATTATTTTATTCCAAATGTAATGTGTCTTTCTTAGAATCTGTTAGGCTTGTTTTGGGTAAGATTGGGAAGAGCTGACTTTCTGATGCTGATAGCCTTACACTCATAGTTCCCAAGACTCTCTGGGGAAAATGAACTGGTTTTTCACAAGTGCACTTTCATTTACTGGATCAAATATCCCACAGCTAGATTACACTTTCCCTTGCATCTAAATAGGTGAGAAGGTGACTATGACCAATGGAGTGTGGCGAAGTGACGCTCACCACTGCTAGGCTTCATTCGTAAACCCCCTGCATTGTCCTCATAATATCTCTTCCCTTACACACTGGCCAGAAGCAGAGAATCCAGGACCTGAGGATGCTGAGATCTTTAGAGAATTAAGCCTGGATCAGAAACAACTGCCTAGATTAAGTCCATTGCTGGATGTTCAGTTGGATTGTGATCTGAGAAAGAAATCTTATATGGTGCCAGGCCAAGGAAAGATGGAATCGTTTGTCACAGAAAGAATTCTACTCTGAATAACAGTCACTAAGGCAAAAAACAAAACCAAAAAACAAAACACAAAACAAAAAAAACCTTCAAATCTTGCTCAAAATGGTAAAAACCTTACCTTTATTCTCTTGTATTATCTACTGATACGTAACAAATTACCACGAATGTAGCTGCTTAAAACAACACAAATTTATTATCTCAGTTTCTGTAGGTCAGAAGTCCTGGACAGCTTGATTAGATTATTTGCTCAGAGTCGCACTTAGGTAAAATCATAGTACTGGCCAGGTCTGTTGTTCTGATCTTGGGATCCTCTTTCCAGCTCATGCGTTGTTGGAACTATCCAGTTTCTTGAAGCTGTTTCCATGCCAGCTGTCCACTAGGAGGTGCTGTCTGCTCTTAGAGGCCGCCTGCATTTTTTCACATGGGGTCCCTTCCATCTTCCGCCCAGTAATGGTTTGTCAAGTCCTCAAACTTCTCCAGCTTCTGCTTTTAAGGGGTCCTGTGATTACTCTGGGCCCACTCACGTAATCCAGGATGATCTCCCTATTTTAGAGTGAATTTTCTAACTTTATCTGCAGAGTTCTTTTCGCCTTTTAAGGTAACATATTCATGGGTGTGATACTTCATTATATTCACAGTCCTGGGAATAAGGGCATGGAATTTTCTTGGGGACCACAATTCTTCCTATCACACCCCTGACTGGATGATAAATGGAGAAGAGAAATGATTCAATATATTTTAGTGTATTATTTTTCATCTTAATATTTTAACTTGCCTCGTCACACATGAAACCAAAGTCGACCCTTGAATAACACAGGTTTGAACTGTACAGGTTCACTTATAAGCAGATTTTTTTCAACAAATATACAATCAGCCCTCTGTATCCTGGGTTTCGCATCTGTGGATTCAACCGACCACACAGGTGGCAAACAGTATTTTCGATTCATGGTTGGGAATCCAGGATGCAGAGGGTCAACTATGTCTTGTTCTATGCCATTTTATATAAGGGACTTGAACATTTACAGATTTTGTTATCTGCAGGGGTCCTGGATGACTGAAGTTTTGGGGTAGTCAAAAGTTATACATGGATTTTCAACCGCATGGAGGTTAGCACCCCTAACCCACACACTGTTCAACAGTCAGCTGTAGCCATTTTTTAAGATTTCAATAGTTATGTAGGCACATGGTTTAAAAAATCAAATAGGCATACAAGATTATCTTGAGTAGCAAGTAACTCTAAATGCCTCTAATACAGCCATGCACCAGACAAATACCATTTTCTGTGAATGCCTTTATGTGAAAATAGCTGGGAAGCTCTGATTTCACTAAGGAAGATCAAGATTTAACTCTTTTTTCTCTTTCCACCCCCCAACTACCACAGACATGAACATTTCCCATCCCTATCCTCTCTATAAAGTACATAATTCTGGGCAGTACATAATTCATGTGTTATTTATATCTTTATGACTATATTTGTTATTGGAACTGAGTCATTTAATAATTTGTTTTTTTCCCCCTCTGGAATTGTGTCTTTTTCCTCCCATCTTTTTGGTTTTGTTTGCTTTGAATCCCAAACACTCCACCAGTTTTCGAAACCTCTTAACACATTGATTCATACTATAAATCCTATCTAGTTCATCATTTTGAAGAGTCTGTACTAGAGATGCTCGGCCTACTCACCCTTTATTTCTGGTACACAGCTGTCATCTTAGGATCTGTTTTTCATCGTCCTGGGATTTTTTTCATGGTCCTTCTTTTACTTTATATATACTATTTCTCTCTGTTGCTATCCTCCCTTGTTATGAAAAAAATAAAATAAAATAAATACTCTAGTCATTTTTCCCCTTCTCTATGAATGAGTATAATACTTTTATTGATTTTAATGTTCCTGAGAACTAGTTTCTGGATAATTCTCTAGCACAGAAATAAAAACGAACACACATATTTATTTTGTTTTGTACTTCGATATGTATTTTTTAACTTTCCGAGCGCTACAGAGTTTCTTTAAACTTTACATTTTGAAGTAATTATAGATTCACTCAAAATTCTTTAAAGCTGCAAAGACAGAGGCTAAAGTATCCTTCATCTAACTTTGCCCAATGGTTACATCTTATATATCGACACCACAATATCAAAACCAGGAAATTGACACTGGTACATTACAGTTATTTAAACTACAGACCTTACTCAGTTTTTGTCATCTTTTATTCTGCGTGTGTGTGTGTGTGTGTGTGTGTGTGTGTATTTAGTTGCATATGATTTTATCCTATGTATATACTGCTGTAACAATCACGACAATCAAAATACAGAACTGTTCCATAACCACATAAAAACTCCTTCATGCTACCTCCTCATATGAACTCCTCACCAACTCTATCTCTGTCCCCTGGCAAACATTAATCAGTTCTCCCTATTTTCTGTTGTTTTTGTTTAAAGAATGTCGAAATGGAATCATACAATATTTAAGCTCTTGAGATTGAATTTATTCACTAAGCATAATTCTCTTGAGGCCCATCCATTTTGTCATGATGTATCAATAGTTCATTCTCCTTCTTCTCTGAGAGTTTTCACTCTCTCCCTATCATGTATATAGTATATATATGTACATATGTGATATGCATATCATATCTTCACACCAACTGAGAGGGCTATTTCATATATATGTGTGTGTGTGTGTGTGTGTGTGTGTGTGTGTGTGTGTGTGTGTGTGTATGTATATATATATATATATATATACACATATATTCTATTGTGTCTATTTCTCTGGAGAATGCTAATACAGATTTTCTGGAAAGTGGTACCTAGAGGAATAGAATTCTAAGGGTGACTTTTCTGAATTGGTGCTGAGTTTTTCTGGAATTGGCTCTGTAATCTGATTAGATTTGAAGATGCTAATGACTCTATTTCTAACAGTAAAGAGAGCACTGATAGTCCATGGCATGACCTGGCAACAGAGAGACACAAAATATCGAATATTCTTATAATCCACTATTAGGAAGGAAGGAACTAAGCAACTGCATATGATGCTTTTATACATTTTTTGGTTGTCTCTACTGTCACTAGACAAAGTGGTGGGAGAAAATGATGACTTCAGAGTTCAAATTCCTAGCTCAACTGCTACATAAATGACCTGACAACTTAAAAAATTGTGAGCCCTGAAGAAGGTCCATACGTAGAAGCCCAGACATACAGTGAAAACTAAGACTTCGACAGAAGCAGGAAATCAAGAGACTAAGACCACTGGGCAAAACAGAAGCTCGAGTTGCTTCCTTCATATCCACTCGCCCCTTCCAAGATCTATCTGGGAAGGAAACTGGGTTTTATCATCATTCATAGGATAAGACCTAGAGCCATTATTATCTATAATTTAAAAAGCCAGAGAAAACTAGAGGATTTGGGAACCTCTAAGCAGGTGACGTCTGGTCATACTAATTGATGGCTCCTAGGGTATGGATAGGGAGCTCTAAAAAGGGGCCGATATTGCAACAAAGAGAAAGGAAAACTTAAAAATAAGTAAAATCAAGCTTCAGCTGCAGGAAGAGAAAAATAAGAGAAAGAGCACAGAGAGCCTTTCTTGGAAATATCTAGCAAGGGAATCCGATGAGAAGCTGGGAGAAAGAGAGGCCTAATTCCACTGAAGATGAATCGGAGAGCTCTGATCACGTGGATCCACACAATTCCCCTTCACAAGCTGGACGTAAGAAGCTTGAAATAAGAGCTTGATTTGGGAACATTGAGGAATTCAGGGACATTATACATTATTTCAAATCAGCTACCCTAAGGCTGGAGCAATTCCTATGAAAAGAGTAGGTTTTGGCAGATTAGAAAATAAGAAGAAATCTAAGGATATAGGAAGAGATCAACGTGACACACAAGTAAATGTTATCCGTATATCGAGGGGCTTCACGAATTTATTAGCAGGAGACTGTGAAGTTCCACAGCCACCTCAAAAAGGAAAAATGAAGTAAAATAACTTCTGACCAACTCAGTGTAGCATTTCCAGTGCTCACAGCTACGCTCGTAAGAATACGGAGGACGTTTAGCTGACAAAGGGCCAACCGAAATGAACTTTGGAAATAATGCGGACATAAAGCAAAACAGAACGCCTGGCTACCAAGATTAAAAATTGAAATAATAACAGAAATAATACTTAATGCTATTATTTCTGTCCTTACAATTTATTTGGCATCCACTACATGCCAGATACTTTAGAAATCACTCACAATAACCCTATAAGGTAACAACAATCATTTCCATTTTTGAATAAGAAATGCAATATTTTAATAAATCTGTAAGTTAATATGAATAGGTAAGTTAATATATCACTTACCCATGACCTCGTAACTGGTAAATAAAGGGAGGACTTGAGATTAATTCTAGGTTTTTATGCTCCAAGGATTGAGTCTTTCACTGCATCTCTAGAATTAGTTTGCATGAATTAAAGCATAATAAAAACTTAAAGTTATCTTTTCTTTTTACCATTTGTCCGATAGCTATTACAACATTGTTCTAGTCATCATGCTGTGTGTGTGTGTGTGTGTGTGTGTGTGTGTGAGAGAGAGAGAGAGACAGACAGACAGACAGACAGACACTGGAAAAAGGCCAACAGACAGCTGAAACATAAGTAATGTGGGTGAATTGGTATATTATAAAATATTTGGAATGGAGTTTGCTTTAACTCAGAGACGACTAACTCAACATCAGAGGATTTTCATAAAGGATGGTCACTATTAGGATTCTATGTTCAAGGAAAACTGAATGAGAGACAATCGATTCGGAGAAAAGAAATTGTAAGGGGGGTGGTCTTTTAAAACGTTCTAACTGGCAAGTGGCTAGAGCCCGTCACATCGGGATTTTCAATTTAAGAAGACCTGATCTTATTAAGAAACAATAGAAGATGATAAGGTAGAGTGTATAAATGGATACAATTTGCCCCCTCGCTTCATCTATGTCCCTGCAATAAAACAGCACAGATCTTCCCATTGACATACGGAGTCAACCTCCTTACTCCTTGAATCTGGGTTGTCTATGCAATTTGCTTAGGTTGGTGGTACAAGCGCACACATGATTCAGCAGTTCTGAAAAACATTTGTGAATCAGAGGAGAACCAATCACCAGCCAACTGCCAGATATGTGATTAAGGCCATACCAAATCATCTAGCTCTGGTCACTTCACCGGTTGACCACAGATGCATAAGAAAACCTGGCCGAAAATAGCTAGGCTGAATCAGAACAGCAGAACCACCCACACGATCCACAGAATTGTGAGCAGATCGAATGGTGGTTGTTTGAAGCCACTAAGTTTTGGGGTGGTTTGCTCACAGCTAAAGCTAACAGAATCAGATGGAAAAAAAAAGAACAAAAAAAAAAAAGAACAATAACAAGAAAAACTAAAGTGACAGGCTGAACAGACACTTGGAACAGTGGCCAATTAAGTTTATGGCTTGAGGGGCTTTGCCCTCTACCTGCCTGAAGATAGAGAACTAGAATAAATGTTCGCAATATTTATTTAGAAAATAAAATGTCTTTACAGATCATCTAGTCCAACCCGAGCAATGTACATATAAGGAAGCTGAGACGGAGAGAAAGGAATATGACCTTCCCAAGGTCACTGTGAGTTTCTGACTAAACTAAGACACCAGTCAGGCCCTCCAACCCTAGTCCTGGGCCTTTTACTCATTCGCACCTCCTTGAGATCTTGACCAGTACTAAGATTCCATGGCTCTGTGACTCTGTGGTTCTATAATTCCAAGACAAAGCACCACAACACCAGTGCTCCAGACAGCCTGGGGACAGGAGAAGAACATGGTCTAGACCGAAGTGTCAACTACATCACTCTATCACTTCAAAATATCAACACCGCCATCATGGATTCCAACAAGACACACAATCCCGTGTTTCTGGTGTTTCCTCCGCAGGTCACTGTTCCCGAGTTTCAGTCAACAGACTCTACGGTCACAACCGTCGAGTCCCGGATCCCCTTTCCAAAATTACTTTCTACAAAAATGAAAATCTTCGGGGTAAGTAAAATTTGCCCCAATGTAAACTCTGCTGAGGGTGTGTTATGGACTCAATATTTGTGTTCCCCAAATTCACATTTGAAACCATAAGCCCAATGTGGTGGTGTCTGAAGGTGGGGACTTTGGGGAGTGGGTAACTCGTTCCTGATGGTGGGGCCTTCGTGAAGGAGGTTAGTGCCTTTTCTAAGAGGGGTCAGAGAGCTAGCACATTCCCTTTCCATCTTATGAGCGGACAACAGAGAAGTCGGTGGTCTGGAACCCAGAAGAGGCTCTTGATCAGAATGGGACCATGGTCGGCTGGCACCCTGATCTCAAGAGTTCCAGCCGCCAGAACCGTGAGAAATAAATGTCTGTGATTTATAAGCTGCCCAGTCTGTCTCTTTGTTACAGCAGCTCAAACCTACCAAGAAGTGGGGTGCTGCTTTAACAAATGCTTAAAAATGTGGAAGTAGCTTTGGAACTGGGTAATGGGTAGAGGATAGAAGAGTTTTGAGGCACACGCTAGAAGCAGCTGAGATTGTCATGAAGGAACGTGGAAAGGCAATTAGTGAGAGCTCAGGAAGAAAAGAAGGGAGCTGTAAAAAAAAGGCTCCATCTTCTTAGAGAATATCCAAGTCATCCTGAACAGAAGCATGGTAGAAATATGGATAGGAAAGGCCACTCTGATGAGGTCTCAGGTGAATAAGGAGCATGTTACTGGACGAAGGACAAAAGCAGATCCTCTTTATAAAGTAGCAAAGAACTAGGCCGAACTGCGTTGTGTTGCAGTGTTTTGTGGAAGGTAGAACTTGCCAGCCACGGAATTCAATACTTAGCTGAGGAGATTTCTAAAGGAAGTGTCAAAGAAGGGGCTTGGTTCCTCCTGACTGCTTGCAGCAAAATGCAAGAATGAGAAATTGTTCGAATACAGAATTATTCAGCAAAAGTAACTAGAACTTAAAGATGTGGCAAGTTCTCAGCCGATCCATATTGCAAAAACTGAGGGAGGGTACTAGCAAGGGTACACAAGGGGTGTGGCCAAGGGGCCTTTAATTAAGGAGATTAATGTGGGTGTGAACTAAGGACTTGATCAGCCACCCCAGCAGGCAAGCTGCCAGTCCGAACTGAAGAAGAAGAGGACAGGAAGGGACGAAGGAAGGCTCTCTTATTGTCTCATGATTTACAGGATGAGACAACAGAGCTATTGGGCTGTGAGTGTGCACCATTCTTTCAGACAAGGGAAGAAGAACCCCAAACGTGATTTAGAGATCATCAAGCCCACCAGCTGGGTTTCAACAGGCCGGATGACTTCTAATAAAAGCCACGGGGGAAGAGCCGCCCAAACTGATGAGGACCTGAGCTACAGGGACAGGACCACTACCCCAGTGGGTCCTGAAGGCAAGACCACCATCCCGGTGGATCCACAGGGCCAAGCATCAAGCCACAGAGAATCATTTTGAAGACTTAAGACCTAATGGAATTTGCATTGCTAGGTTTGGACTTGTTTGGCACCCATCGCCCCTCCTTTCCTATTTCTCCCTTTTGGGATGCAAATGCCTATTCTATGCCTGTCCCACCATTATGCTTTGGAAGCTCATAATTGAATTGGTTTCACGTGTTCACAGCTAGAGAGGAATCTGCCTCAGGATGATTTGTACTTCAAGACTCACTCTTGTCTGATTTAAATGATATTTCGATGAGACTTTGGACATTAGAGTCGACTCACTCTTGTCTGATTTAAATGATATTTCGATGAGGCTTTGGACGTTAGAGTTGATGGTGGAAGAAGTTAAGACTCTGGGAGCTGCTACGACAGAATAAACATTTTCTGTGTGAGGACATGAATGTGGGGGGTGGGGGACCAGGAATTGTTATGGACTGAATGTTTGTGGTTCCCCCAGTTCATATTTTGAAAGCCGAAGCCCAATGTGATGGTATCTGGAGATGGTCCTTTGAGAAATAATTAGGTCATGAGGGCGGAGTACTCAGGAGTGGGATCAGTGCCCTTAAAAGAAGAGGCCACAAAAGCTAGGTGCCTCTCTTTCCATTATGTGATACAACAGAGAAGTCAGTCTGAAACCACAAGTGGTATCTCATCAGAAC